TTTTTTTTTTTTTTTTTTTTTTTTTTTTTTTTTTTTTTTTTTTTTTTTTTTTTTACGCAATCTCATAAAGCAATTAGATTCATATTCAGCCGATCAAAAAAATGTTAAATATACACGTTTTACTTTATTTTTAAGTTTTGTAGCTCTTTGTTAATTATTTTGTAAAAAATTGTAGTAGCCTGTGTACCATTAAACTTAACTTATTTTTCTTGATTAACATCACGAATCCAAAAGAATGTTATTTATATGTGTAATTTGCACTTTCCTTGACTAAATAACAACTAACCCAGGAAAAAAAAATCAAACGTTTGTATGTATGTAAAACACATGTTTTGTTAAATGCATGATTATCCTCAGTAAGTATCCAAAGTGCAGAGCCTAAAGTCTCGAGTGTTCGTAGGTGGGATCGGAACAAAGCGTTTCTGCTCATCAGTGAATTTGGGAAATTATTGCGACGAAGTGAAACAACCCGGGGATCAACTGACCTACCGCACCTGCGTTTACACCTGCGACTCGGACGGTTGCAATCCAGCCTCGAGGATATCGCCCTCCAGCCAATTAAACGTCCTCCAATTGACGGCGATGCTCGTGGTATTTGGCTCTTTTTACAGCATGAGATAAAATTTACATAGCGCCGCTGCCAAAATGTAGGTAGTTGAGATTAGAACTTAAAAAAATTTTTTTTTTGCTTTTTTTTCTACGATTCTGTACATATTTATCTATACTCACTAGTGGATAAACGGTCTCATTATCTCATTAATCAATGGTAGAACAATATAATATGCTATGCACATAGGGTAATGATGAATTTTGAAGTCATACAAGCTTATACACGTATTACTTTCATTTAATTGTCTCTTTATTCGTTAAGATGTTTTATTATTTCATCTCCTGTTTGAAATTATTTCAATCGATGATTTACAATTCAAACGTAAATACACTATACATTGTTTAATTGATTATCTTTGTATAAGTTGTCTTTATGCAGCATCGCAATCGCATGACAAAACCAAATTTTTATAAAATTGATGTGTGAGAGAGTGTGTGTGTGGGCTTGCGCTCGCTCGCTGGCGCGTTGGGTGTTTGTATTCTAGTGTGTGAAATATTGTTTTTTTTTTTTTTTTTTTTTTTGCGTGCTCTTTACAAGTAACTCTCTTTTCTTTGGCATTATTGCGTTAAGCGGCCAAAATTCATCGAGTCGTTAAATTTTTTGTAAGTATATATCAAACCAAAATCATGCTGATCCTCGTTCGTTAAATTTTGGCACGCTTGTGACTCATTTAAATTATAGTCGACAACAAATTGTCAAGTTTTTTTCATATAAACATACGCTAATCGATGTGAAAAATATAAAACGTAGATTGTTATTACAAAATGCTTGTACATTCCATTTTTTTTTTTTTTAAGAACGGTATTATTACTCTGATTCTTTTTTTTCTTTTTTTCCTTTGAACTATGTTAGCAAATATGCAAAAAGGCAGTGTCTCTTTTTCTCTTTTGTTTCATAAAGGCACGCTATATGCATATATGTTCAATTACTGTGTAACTATACTATTAAGATTATGTACGGTGACGACGAATCTTTGTGATGACGAACGAATTTATATTTGCTGTAGTAGAAATAAAAACTGGTATTTTATTACTTTCCAAATGAAATAGTGTTAACTTTAAATATACTTATATATATATTTTAAGATAAGTATTTATTATACAATACAATTATCTTATTGCTTCGATCCATTTGCCTCAACATACGCAACAAAAAATACACGATATTGGTTTTTTAAATGATTTCGATTGGGGACAATAAAGTAGAAAAATATAGGGTTCAATGGACCACTACGTAAATATGTTGAGGCTTAACGAAATAATAATTCTTTTGTTGGAACAAATATCCTTAATTTCATAATTTTTGCGCTAGCTTAACTTTAGACAATAATAATGATTGTAGTGATTGATGATTAATAAGAAGTCGTATTGAAGTATCAGTATAAAATGTCAATGTTATTAATTTGATGTTGTTTTTTGATATAAATATATAATTTATCTCATTTCAAGGTTATTAACGTATTTAAAGTTACTACGCTTTCTTACTGTACCTATAAACGTTATCCAAAATATTTTAGATTTTTGAAAGCGTATAAGCCAATTCACTTCCAAGTCTTTGCATTTTTTTTATTTAGTATATTGTTTATTTATTTTTTTTTTTTTGGTAGTAATTTCACAACTATGGATCACAATCAAATGTAGATGTATGTCTATGTTAACATACAAGTAAATATTCATCAAGCAGTAATACGAATGAACATATTATATCTAAGTATGCAGCATAATTATAATGAAAATTCTTTTTATACAAGCAAAAGTGTTTACTATATTCATACATTAACACTGTCGGCTTTTCTGGGTCTTACATTTGTGCATATGATATATACGGTGTATGCGTAGCGGCACATCGTCACGATTCGGCACACATTGAAAAAAAAAAAAAAATAAATAAATAAATAACCTTGGATGGCACAAAAGTAACACGATTGTCTGGTGATTTCGTGGAAAAGTGTGGATTTTTTTTTTGCCCCCCTTTGGCACCTAACTTGGAGCCCCGAGTGACCAATATAGGTACACACCCTTACATGTACTCAATATTTATGATATGTAAAAATATGCATGAAAAACAAAAAACTTGGGTTATTAAAATACGTAACGAGCTTATTTATGAACTCTCCTCTGCCACTAACCATCATCAGCCACATACAAGTAGTTGTTGATTAATTTGCTTGGTTTATCATTTCNAAATTGAAAAAGTTTTGAATTATAAATATTCCTTGCGCTCGTATTCATACATACCTTACCGTAAATAAATTACAAGCCTTTTTGTTGATACTTTCGAATTTGCTCTTCCAGCTCTTTGATTCGCAGTTGGCTGTTTGCTAATTGACGTTTAACTAGCCTTAATTCATCACTTTGGCGCAAATAAGCTAGTCTAAGTTCAGCCTCATTATTCGGCACATCCGTTGTCTCCAGTGCTTTATTGTCGTTCATATTTGTGGATCCTATGTTATTCTAAAATGAACAGAAATATTATTTGTTGTATCAACGGTATCATTGACACCATAATTTGTTGATGCAATAATATTTTTTATCAAACATGATTTTTATACAACTACAAAAGGAAATAATTAAAAGGAAAAGGATATCTTTCTAAGGAAAAAAATTGGCAAGAAATGCTAAAGGTTGAAAGAAGAGAACGAAAAAATTGCCAAAACCTACCTTGTAGTAATGAGAATAATTCTCAAACTTGCTAATGAGCTCATAGAATTTGTTGCTATATCTCGGAGTCTTGGAGTTGACCATGCAAAGTGTTAGTGGGTTACGCAAAAATACAAATAGTAAACATTTCTCAACAATTCAATACTCATACAAAACAGATAGTGGAATACGATTTTAAATGAAAAAACCAAAGCTGAAGGATGAATACAAGCATTACACATGTAAAGTTACTTTACTACATCATCATACTAAATTCATAATACTAAGGCATTCAAAGCAGTGCATAGTATAATTTCCTGTTACTGGTCATGTAAAAGTAGTAATAATGTTAACAACAGCACGTACAACAAATGTAATAATAGTAACAACTAATTAATTTTGTTGTTTCACAACGATAATCAGTATACTTATATTCAATGCATCTTACCTGAAAAGGGACATTGTTAAACTTTTGTTGCAACTGATGAAATTTGGTGCTTTGATTGCTACACGTCTTTTGTCTTTTATCATTCATTTCGCTGTAATCGATGGGTCGATAGTCAGGCACTGTCTCTGTTGACAGAAAGGCAAACTTTTTTTTCGTGTTCACATCTGTTGCTCCAGCTTGATTTGACGATCTGTATACTCGTGGCTTGTGTGTTGTTATGCTACCACCTAAAATGACATTTATTTTTTAAATATTTATTATCGCACCCATATAATTAAAAACATATAAAAAATTATAATCATTATAGCCATCTAAATAAAAACATATAAAAAAATTGCGAGTCAAGAAAATCAATACAAACCAGTTTTTAGGGATATCAAAACTGGTGGGCTGTTTATTCCGCTGATCCAATCTTTAGCTGAAAGCGCTGGCGTTGTACCAATCGTGTCTGGATATAAATCCTCTTGAAACTGATCACTCTACGAAACAAAAAAACAGGCAGATAATAGATGTATCAGAGTCAAGGGGAGTCAGTGGCGAATTTCACATAAACAACCGATTAACGTACTTTACGTGGTACAATCATAGAGATTGGTTCGCACATGCCCCTAGTGGCGTGAAGCTTGTAGAAGCGAAAAATCTCACAAGCGGCTGTGCTAACGCCACGTTTTGGCATGATACCGAGGCCTCGTTGTGGATTTCCCGATATAAATTGGCTCAAATAATGTACCCACGGTGCCTCATTTACTACCTCGTAGTAGCGTAAATTTCCATCTCCCTACATTAAAAACATACACAATTAGTATAGAACTGCAATATGAAACTAAAATTACGGCAACCCGTAATGAATAAATGAATAATAATAAAGTACCTTTCCTGCCAAGTACACCATGTTGGTGTCGTTGTCGTAAAACGGAAAAACAATGCCACTGCTCGAATCGATGGTTTCACAAGCTAGGGGCGAGGACAAGTCGTGCTGGCTCCAAACCGCGTATTGGCGATCCGAGTGTCTGCTGAAACCGGTGGTCAATAGGCGGCCCGAGCCACCCAAAAAGGTGACCTTACTGGCCTTGGTGCCGGCGTGACAGATACCCTCCTGCAATCAATCGAGTGGCCCCGCGTTATTGCCAATATACCCCAAGGCTGTATGTTAATTAGGGGACTCGTCGATTGTATAAATATGATACATGTATATAAGTAATTGTAATACCGAAACGATAATGCCGGAACGCGGCTCGAAAACACGGAGCTTCTTGTCCTTGCAAGTTGTCGCGAGAAGGCTACCGTCCCGGTTGAGGGACATACTGTAAATGACATCCGGATGCTGGTCTATGACGCTGACCGCCTCGGCCCGGCCGACGTCCCAGACGATGACCAGATGATCGAAGCCCGCGCTCAGCAAAATATTTTCGGCCGTCGGGTGCCACTCGAGGTAGCCGACGCGTCGCTTGTGGCCCTGCAGTTCTACGAGCCACTCCGTCAGGTTGCGCGACAGACCGCCGTCGGGTATGTGCCAGAGCTTGACCTACGATAAAGTTATTATCAACCAAAGATCGTCGACGACAATTTATATATATATATATATATATATATATGCGTGTACCATAAAGTACGTGTATATACTCACCGTGCAGTCGTCGGAGGAGGAAGCAATGACATTGTCGTTGAACGGGTTCCACTTGATGTCCAGGACAGGGCCCTTGTGCCCGGTCACTCTATTAGCGTTGAAATCCAACCGGCCGGTCTGAAACAAAGCCGCCCCCAGGTAAATTTTTACCATACGGTTACCATCTACATTAATTACACACGCATCTGTTCATCTAATAGAATAATACATCGGTATACCGATTTTAATATTCACACTTTATGCAATATTTTAGGCCAATGTGCAAGTTATATCAAATATGATGGTATCCAGAAGAGCAGCTGCTTATCTGCTCTGTGAATGTGTATACAGATATACTCGTCACGCATGCTAGAAACGAAAGTCGTTAGGAAAAGCTGAGAGAGCAATTATTATCGGCAAGTGGGATATGATGGCTGATGCTGCAGTGAAAGTGTGTATTATTATGTGGATGTATAAAGTCATTGGCTGCTGTGTGTTTCATATCTTCTTTTCAGCTGTTGGCCCATCAACAGTAAACATGTATACTGCGGGTACTGCATGGGGTTGTTATCATTATTACTTTTTGTTCTCTTGAAACAAGAGTACGGAACATCGGTACGATGTACCTAGTGGTAGTAGGTACCAAGTAGGTGGGATATGTAATTTAGAAAAATTCGTTAACATTTACTACTCACGTTGTCGATCGGCAACACCAAAAAGGCGCCACCGCCCGCGACTTCGGTGACGATGGCCAGAAACTTGGGATTGGCGGCACAAAATTGCGAGTCGTGGGCGTTTTTGGTGATTTTTATGTTGTCGTAGCATTTCTCCCGCTTGGCCGGAACTCCGTAAACGTGTCGGAATTTGCTGCTCCGCACGCCCCGGAACCATGACTAACAAGTTCAAACATTCGCGCATGTACATTTTGTAACGACAACAATAATATTAAGTAAGGCGATGATGAAGGGTATTTTATTGACATTGATTATAACAATAATCCAAAAGTGATTTCAATCATCATGTTGTATACGCAATAAAACTTGTAAATACACACAACTATATAACGTGTAGAATATATAATTATAATGATTGGCTATGTATATTTACACTACGTAAACGTAAACACTACTACTACTGCAATATCTAATTTTACAAATGATTCTATTCGTCAAGACAAAACGCTTTACTTTGACATAAAAGATTATATAGAAGAGGGGGGGGGGAAGAAAAAAGAAAGTAAATATAAATGAGAGATGTAAGTGCTTACCTGGCGATCATTAGTCATGATTAACCGTGGAAAACTCAGAGCTCAAGTTTCATGTGATACAAAATAGAGAGACAAACAGACACAAGTCGTCGTCGTCGTCGACGTCGTAACATGAGTAACGTCGCGTCGTGCGATGGGATTCTTTACAACAGAGCTCATGCAAAACAATGTTTGTTTTTTTTTTTTCAACGAATCACTACGCAAAATTATCTGCAAACTATTTATACTCAGTACAACTTGCCTGCATTACTGAAAAAAACAAACAAACAACAACGACAACTGCAATCAAAGTAATCTACTTGAATGAAAACTTAAAAATATGTTTGTACACAGTAATTTTTTTTTACAAAACATTATCGAATGGATAAAATTGTACATAAAAAAAATATTGGTATTACATTCCATTCATCGTTCAAAATTACTTATTATTGGCACAACACAACACAAGAGATGAAAATGAGTAAATATATATTGCATGCGGTAATAAATGGACGGGACAAGGTAATTCTATACACATGGTACTAAGATAAACAGGGTGAAAAAATCGGTCAGACGCGAGAATTGCGCAAAACCGATTATTCAACCTTGTTATATCTAATTTTATAAAATCTGATCGATATTGTACGGGTATTAAAAACTTTGATTCATGCGACTTTAATTTATGGCGACATTGATAAAACAAAAAAAATACAAACAAGATGAGTCGATCTCCATGAAGATGATCACATTCATAAATATGTAAGAGATTCCTTCGATATGTATATAGGCAATAAAGAAGAGGAGTTGCTGTAATATACCTTATATACGTACACATGGTATGTATACACGTAATAAGGGAAAATGAATAAAAAATGAGCCAACGGTAGTTGATACGCTTGTCAGCGCCGATGTGACACTGGCATCCAACGGGAATGCGGTGAAAAGTGAAAAATATGTACGTGTGAGTAAAACAATGTATTAATTACGAGTAACATTAAGTTTTCAATCGGCGAGTAGAACCACGGCGTTTCATCGTCTCCACGTAATTTATCGCAATCTTTGATCAATATCCGCCATCAGTTAATACACGCCTCCTCCCTGGTGGAGTATCAAGTTCCATACTATATGATACATCGTGGCTGGTGTGTTACAACGCTCGCTTTCATTTGTAAGTGCACGTTACGTATAAACTCTTTACTCCTCGATCGCGACTGACGAAAAAAAAAATGCTCGGTTCATTCATTTTTTTTCTCGCGTGAAAAATTTATAAATCTGTTTTGAGGCCATACTCGACCGAAGATTCTAATTTTTCGTGAATTTCTACGATTGTTCGATTTTAAGTTTTCATGAATTACGAAACGATCACAGAAAACTTTGGCAACGACTGCATTTTAAACGTAGCAAAAAGAAGAACAACAATTTTCGTGATTTCTGAAATAAATAATGAAACGTGGTCCTTAAATGACGGTAAAAAATGGGATTAGAGAAAATAAGCGTAAGTGCTCCCGCCAAAGTAAAATTCGAGGGAAACGGATATCGTGAATTGGCTGCACGTCGGAAACTCGTGAACAAATATATATATATATATATAAATATATATATATATACACGGCACCTGTGCAATGGGCATTTTAGATAAATTTGGGAGCAGTAAAAAAACCGTCGGCCCTCGACCGGCCGATATTTTTAGAAAAATACCGATACCAGACGAGTAGCACTACTCCTATACTATATACTTTGCAGTTCGATTGGGAGTCTGCTATTCCAAGCCCACCTTTGTCCTCAAATCAGGTCAGATATCTCTTCCTCCGTTCCGTACATGTATGTACAATTAATCTCTATTACTTTTTTGGGTACGAGTAAAATTTTAATTGTCAATTTAATCTCATTAAGAGTAAAAAATAATCATCATCATCACTGTTGATGCTCTTTATTAGGCGTATCCGTTTTAATACAACGCTCGGTCACTCCCTTCTTCTTCTCTACATTTTCCCTTCTCTCTCTCTCTCTGTCTCTCTAATGCACCTCCGGTTACAATTAATGTACATGACAGTGATGTCACCGCATATTTTTGCATCGAAGCAAATTACTGAAGACGAGTGTGCGATACATTACATGTTAAAAAAATTCAAGGTTTTCCCATAGAGAAAAAAATTATTTTGAAGCTTAGTAATGATGAAGAAAAAAAAATTGATAAATTTTTTAATTTAAAAAGATGATCTGAGCCTTCGAGACAAAAAAAGTAGTGATCATAGATATTGCTGTTTCACGTACCTTGGTGGTTTTTTATTGTAATCCGATCTTGCATCTATAATTAATAATAAACGTGGCAGTTGGCATACATCGCGCACTTTGTTGAAAACGGATAGCCATGCATTCGCGAGTACACAATGTTTATGCTTAAATTACGAATGTCACGGAATTGGATGTGCTTATGCGTTTGTCGTCCGAGCCCCGGAGCCGATAAACACAATCTAATCTACTTTCTTTACTCAAGTACTCATTGTGTATAAGTATATGTACAGTGTAAGCGATTGAGTGCACAAGTATACTTTTTTACTAAAATTTAACAGCATCGGTAACACGAAAATTATAATTAATCAAATTTAAAATAGCAATCGACACAAAAATTTAACTATGTTAAACGTAATTTACAGTGATGGTTGTATAACAATATAATAAAGAATAATGCGATTGATGGTGTAATTTATTGCATTAGTTAACAGAAATAAAGCAAATACAAAAAAAAATAATAATAATAACAATTTAACGTTTCAAGTTAATAAAAATAATGTAAAAATTGTAATAGTCACCCGTGGATGAAACCATGAAAAATAGGTGAGTAAAATTTGTTTACGCCATAAGTACTGCATTTACTAGCTCCTCTTCTTCCACTGCAAATAAAAGAAGCAAAGAGCGAAGCAGAGAGGAAAAAAAAGAAGAAGAAAACCATTAGTGGCGCTCGAATCGTTTACATGTTGAAAGCGAAGTAAAGGAAAGAGGATAGAAAAGAAAAGGAGAAAAAACAGAATGACGGATAATGAAGGTACCTGCGCACAATACCTATCGTTACAAAACGTTATGGCTCGTCGGATCTTTCGTCAAATGTTTTTTTACCCGTTTTATTACGATCCTCGCGAGGATGAAGTATTAGGTACTAAACAAAATTTTTCTACGCTCCTCTAATTCAACGCTGTATTTTTATCTCGATTCATTGAGTTGAGAACAAATATATCTTGATTTGAATGTTTCCAAGGTTGGATCAAGTGTGAAACCCGATGATTTGAAAATCCGTAAATAATCGCCACGCAAGTAAAGGCCGAATAAACAAGTTTCCGACGATGCTTATTATGATAATGATGATAATGACGATCGTCCATCGAGATTCTATGCTAATTTATTGATGAGTTCCAAGCGAGCACAGAAATATCAGTCGGCCAATTTTTTTTTCGTAGCTGTAGTACAATAGTACAGGTCAGCGGGGACGCGTGCATTGTTTTAAGAATGTTTTTTCTGCCCTGATTCAAACAACAAAAAGTTATTGGTATGAAAAAACAATTTTTTAGTATTTTACACGCAATATAAATCGATGCGTTAAAAATATGATAATTGAGCCTTTTAAACTCTATAGGTCCTGACTCAAACACGTGTGGATTTAATCAGCTGGAATTCAATACATACAACTATACAAACAGGTGGTGGTTGCCATACAAATGTAAGTATATGTATGCACACAGGCTAGAAAATGAAATATACTATATTCATTGAACATTCGGCGATGCGGGTATACTTTGCTTGGTTAAACAGATTGTTGATGAGTATGCCAGTTATTTTTTTAAGTAAGCCACTTGTATTCAATGTGCGTAACCCAACGATGCACGGTATGCACCATAAATTAATGTGCACAGAACCAAATACACGATAAAGCCATTGATATTTCATTCACAAACGCTTTTGTTCATTCGAGACGCGCGTTTGAGGGTTTGAGGCAAAAAAAAAAAAAAAAAAACTGATTACAGAAAGAAAAGAAAAAAATCCATACATTATAATTTAATCAAGAAGGTGATTTCTTTTATTGGTAAAAAGAAAATTGTTAAAGTAACACTAGTAGAGAGAAAAACGAGTGCCCAAGTATGTATAAATTTATATTTCATATTTTACGATACGTATAGGTATATTATATGTAGCATTACGACAAGACAGTGGTGGTAGTGGTGGTGGTGTAGGGTGAAGAAGCTACATGGGTTGTTCGCCTATCCGCAAGTATACTTACGATGTACACATCACCAGCTACATAGAACGAACGAAATGAAGTAGGAATACCTACGTAATATTATAAACAGTCGCACACATACATACAACATATAATATAAGAATATGGCTGAAGCGTATTACATACATCACATGATAACATAATTAATGTAAAAGAGTATATAAACAATGGACTGCAACTCTATAATGGTGACTTGGTGACTAGATATACATATTATAAGACGTACCCAAAAGTAAGTGTATGCACCAACGGAGCGTATCATAATGATATATTAAACAATAATGTACTTATGGCGTATCATCGGAGAGCTGACCTTTTCGTAGGGCTTGTAACAAGCGCGGGCATCGATGCTGCTCATCAACAAGTTGTAAGAGGCCGCGGCATCTTTCGGCTCGAAATTCGCCTCGAGCTCGAATCTTGTGAATATTGGCTCGTTTGATATCCGTGGCCGTGGCATTTGACGCGAAGAAAGCCGGAGTCAAAGAACCCTCGCTTCTTACAATATATGTATATATAACGTCACTTTATTACTATTATTATATAGTTTGCAGTTATCACTCTTATCTCTCTCGCCTCACGCGATGATTCAAGTTACCTCGATTGCTCCGATCCGAAGTGTCCAAAATTCACAATTCAAATGAAAATATCGTACATACACGTTCAACAGTTAACTGTTTTTCCATATAGGCACGTAGGTACAACTTTATGTAAGTGTATAACTTGACAAAAGGTGAGGTGAAGGAATAAAGTACGTAACACGCCGCTGAGAGTGACCAAGTATACTTATGCGGAGCTGAATGGATTTTTCACTAATAAAGCTGAGAGGTACGCTGAACTATCTGACTTCCAGGCCGTGTGTGTATGTACCAAAACTCTTACACACAACCTAAGTACTTATTCACACTCTTCTATATATTGTATGCGCGATGCGCGAATCGGTGCTGATATATGCTGCATCAGCTTGTTGCTACAGCGTCTCGAAATGATTGCTGGAGCTCGACCGACGATGATGGTGATGCATCTTCTTCTCCCCCATATTTCTTACTGTATATAGGTATACTGTATACAGCGAATACTTTTTTATTATCTTTACACTGCACAGCGCACACAGCCGCAACAGCTAGGCTTGTGTGTATGTGTGTATACATGTATATTGCACGTCACTATCCTTTTCTCGCTAGTTGCTTTGTGTGTTTTGGAGCAACCAATGGTGCTCCACATCCGTATACCTATATGCACAATTCCGTGCTGTGATGCTTCTGCTGTTTTTTTATTACGCGCACTTGCTATTTTACGTATGTATACCTATAGGCGGATAACTATATGTATATTTTATACAGTATTAGCAGTAACATTATAAATAATGTTTGGCATTTATGTACACAACCGTAATGTAATATATGTTTTATATCCTTTCGTCAATCACGATCATTGTCATCTCTTCGCTTTATGTTTAATTTAATGCTGTAGTGCTTGTTGTTGTTTGTTAGACGGGATAAATGAGACAATCGGCTCCATTTGTATACAAACGCACGTCAAAATCAAAAAAGGTTTAAAAATCGTCGAACAATGGGCAGTGAAATAAATATATAATGTATTGTTTTACAAAAAACTTGAAGTTTCAATGAAAACTTATTTTATGTTGCAGCCTTTTTTGAATATTTCCAATTCTCGTTTTTGAAGCTGAATTATTAAAAGGCTATAGATTATAGATCAAAGAGTAAATTAATAATATAAGTTCCTTTCAAACCAGTTTGGAGTTTTAATCGAGCCTAGTGATTGGATCCTTGAAGAGGCTCGAACAGCATGGTTGATTGGCTAAAAGTTGTAAGCTTGCGAAAGTTTTTTTTAACCGACAGCCATTCACAGCACAGGTGTTTTCATCATCAGCCAATCACAGCGGCTTTGCTGTGGGTGCTCGGGGAGCTTTTTCGGAACAAAAAGCGCATGCTCGCAGGAGAGCTTTACTTTAATATGGCTTGATGATGGTGGATCGACTCTATAACTTACTGTCGGAGGTTATATATTAAATCATCATCGGAATCTCTTTAAAAAAGTTACAAAACAAACTTAACTATCGATCTGCACATATTATATATGTTAAGTTTGTTAAACGTTAAACGTTGCTTTTACGAAAGACGTTTTATGTGTATAACGCTGCGACATTGTACTTTTATTTTGTTCTCTAACTTATTTGTGATGTGAGTGTAATTCGTAATACAAGTATACTTTATGCATATTAGCATGCTAAAAAAATACCTTTGTCTTCATTTATCAATCTCTTAAAAAGCATTAAGATATTGGATATCTTACTCTCACTCTAAAACTCTGACTCTACTAATATCGAAGATGTCAGTTGATTAACATCCAAAGTTTGACTACATACTTTTACTCTCAACTTTCTCGTCGAGTGATAAATAAATGGAGTTGCAGTAGTTTCACTCAAGAGTAAAAAGTACAAGTTAGTGTACATTTATTTACATAAGAACGTACGAATCGCACTTGAAGTGCGCATACATCTACTGGTGTTTTCTTATCTCGGCACTTTATTTTCTAACCCATGTCATGTCAACGTGCATCCATTTAACTGAATACAATTTACAAGTAATGTTGTACAACTTTGAAAGTTTTGGATTTGAATAGAAGCGCAGGTGTTAAGCTTTCAATATTTTTTTTCTCTCTGCTCTTCTGTCATGTCGTCTGCTCTAAGAGAGTTTGACGGTTCGAGGGAATCGAGGGTCTTGAAATGCTCTCTCAACAATTAATATGCTGCAGTATTCTGTACTTACACTTTATTTGTGCTATCGTGTACAACCTAATAGTCCTAACACACGTAAATACATGAGGAACTCGGGGCCAATGATAATTGTTAGAACGACATGAAGTCACAGAACTCTAAGGCGCATCAAAAATGGAAACAAACAGCTGTCCTGTTTGCAACAGCCACCGACCGACCGATTTGGATTTCCATACCTATATACCTGATGCACAACAAACACGTGCAGGCTGCGACTTCAATGGCCTTCATTTATACCTGATAAACAGCTATTGTTGCCGTTGCTGCTGCTGCTTAATTCTCTTCTCCAGCGATTAATGTTCATATTTTCTTATCTTATATCCGCATCCTGCTTCGTTTCCTGAAATATATTCTATTCTTTCATTCCAGGTTTCTGTCATCTTGACTATAGACTCAGTTTTTGGCCAGTGAGAAATAATTAAATAAGCAAACATGAATAATGGCCTTTCGGAAAAGCACGGCGAAGTTCCGGCGTCGTTTAATTCACTATCAATGTCTCACAACACCGAAAGTGAGGTATGTAAATTAATTGGTAGTTATATTTGACTTAAAGTTTTATAAACGAGCGAAAGTCTTGTAAACCTCTATTTGTCAGTCCCTGTATATAATTACTGAAATTTTAACTTTAACTAGGAGGAGAGCATATTGCGAAAGAAGGTACAAATTAAAACCCAAGCTCTATTAATGCTGAGCCAAGAATTAGATCAGTGTAGAATGCAAAGGGACCGATATAAGCTAATGTCGGAGCAGCTGCAAGAGGATTTGGCCAGATGGAAGCAACTCGACCAGACTGATTTAGATAAAAAAACAATTAATGGTTACAAGAGTGCAACGGATCCAGACTGCTTTTCAAAGAACAGTGACAGGCTAACAACTCTAGAGGAAGGTACAAAATTAATGGATCTCCTGATAGAGACGCAAGAACAAAACAAGTGCCTTCGATTACAAGTTGACACAATGAGACAAAAGCTTAAAGAAGCACAAGAAGATATTAAGGCGTTGCGTTCCAAGAAAATTCAGAATCTCAAACTAAATGATACAACTGTTGCACTGCATCAGAGAGAAGAGATGATTGAACAACTTGAAAAATTAAATGTCAAATGTCGACAGCTAAAGTTGGACTTGAAAAGTGTTTTAGATGAAAAACAAGAAATCGAGATGGAAAGAGATGCATTCAAGTGCAAAGCTCATCGATTGAATCATGAACTGTCTCAAGCACTTAGTGCATCTAAACCTGTTGACATAGATGCATTGGTCAATGAAAATCGGTAAGATAGACATTCTTTTTCTTTTTGCTTACAAAATGTATAAGCAAAATGCTAGTTGGTATGGTACATCAATATTTTATTATTATTCACCTATGTTATTCTTTTTAGATATTTACAGGAAAGACTTCAGCAGTTACTAGAAGAAAAAGACTTGACTCAACAATCTGTCCAAAAATATAAAGTATGTGTTATTTAACAATAAATTATAAGTTGCAACAATTTTTGATAAAAATTAATGTTTAAATTTTTAGAGCATGCTGGACAGCAAGAGACAGAAGGGAACGATAAAATTAGGTGTAAAGTCGTCAGTTGGTTCTGTAATGACTTTTAAACAAGTGGAGCAATTACTGCAGCAGGATCCAAAAAATATTCCACCACAAAAAGCTGCTGATGCGTTATTTGAATTGCATAGTATTTGCACTGGCCTCTTGGAAGCATTAAACGATAAAAATTTGGCGCTAATACACCAAAAAAAGACAAACAAGTAAGGAGTAATGTTTTAACTTGCACATAGAGATGTATAATTTGTTAAATCTTCTCATTGGCTTTAAATTATTGTATCCGTTTTTGTTAAAATTTTTTAGGATTTTAGCTGCAAGAATGTGCGAATTAGACAAAAACATTCAATCACCAACTCTTAAATTATTAGAAGGATATTCAAATGCAGATGTCGATGTGAAATGTGAGTCAAACGTCAAAATGATACTATATGCATCTTGTACTTATCGTAAGTGTAATTTTAATTTGATTTTTTGTATTGAAATTTGGCAGTCGATGCAACCAGTATGACATCAGATTTGTCAGAAGAAAGATCCGAAAGCAAAGAATCTGATTTACAAAATGATGTGAGTTTTACCGAAAGTAACACAAAAAGTAAAGAATCCGAAGAAAACATTGCTGAACAAGGTGTCGAAAGTAGAGAGTATGATAAATGTTGTGGCGAGAAAAAGATTGACACTGAAAATCCAGACGAAAGTCTTAGTGAAGAGGATGAAGAAGATCGTTTGAAATCTATAAAATATCCAGATGGAAGTATGTCTTTGTCAAATTTACCATTTGACGAAATTAATTTTAAAGAATCTTTTAAAACCCGTCTTCCTGAAAAGTTGATACCTATTGTACAAAAATATCTCGACGAGTTGGAAGCGAAAGACCAAAAAGATTCATGAAAAGGGAAAGTATTTGTATTTTTATTCCTCAAGGGCCATTGAAATCTAGTCGATTTGATACAAACCAGTATCAAATAACTTACCATTCCAAAGACTTTTTATACATGACTAGGAAATATTTTTAGATGTAAAAAATTACTAACTAATGTAAAATTATTAATTTATTTCTCAATTTTATGGGCTTTGTACCCATTTACATGTAAAAAAAAAAACAACAAGCTTTTCGCTCGGCGCAATTTATATCAATAGATGTACAAATAAATAAGAAAAAATTCTTTTAAAGACTACTAGAAAACAGTTTTTCAAGATGAGTAATTTTTTTGTAATAACTTTGGAATTACTTGTGCGATTTTTGACTTGATTAAATTTTTTGGAGCTAGTTTAACGCTGGAGCGAAATAATATGTGTTAATAAAACATTTATGGATTGTTGAATGTTGGTGAGTCTTTGTATTTCCTGACACAAATAATAAATCATAGTATGAAGAAGCTTCAAACATGAGAATAATGTTATAGCTATTGGGCACTTTATTTTTTCCGCTGCAACCAGCAGCTAACAGTCATTATACCTAGTTGTGATGGCTGTGATAGTAATTAATAAATGCAAACTAAAATTTTACGTCAATGCAACATCTTGAATAAATAAGGATCAAGCAGATAAAGAATCGCTGTTTGATATTTTAGTTAATTATTAAACTTTGCAATTGTATATTGCATACCGATAACACAAAGGACATGGAGTGTAAATATCCACTGCCTATAGGTATTGCAGTCAAATAGTCAAAGTACAAAATTACTCTATACTTTCATGCGTTTAGTAATTTTGAATTCACAACCCGAGGAATTACAATTAATGTTGTTTATTATTTAGTGAGATCCAAAAAGAGGCAGCGAGACAACATAATATGAGTCAATACGTATGTTGGCTGTACGTATAGTAAAATTTACAAGAAAAATGTTTGCGATGTCTCAGTGTTATCGATTATGTACATAATTAAGTTAATGTTGCACTCTATATCCTATTATTATTCGTATAAAATGACACGACAAAGGTATGATTTTTAACATGCCTCTGGATTCAGGCGACAAACGAAACGTAAGATTTAAATAAATACCAAGTAGACAAAGGCGTCGTATTCTTTTGTCATACGTACGCGTGTATATGGACACACTTATCTAAGATATACACATAAACATAATATAAACACGTAGAGAGAAGGAAAAAAAGAAAAAAAAAAAAAAAAAAAAAAAATGTTTTCTTTCAAA